TGCCCATTAATTTCGCCTGTGTGTACTGGGAAGACTGTCATAGCTAGATGTAGCAGCCCAAGCACTGACTAACTCATTCGCCCTATGCAAGGGATGAGGGTGCGCGATCTGCCCAGTTCTGTTACCCTTAATTAGACAACAAACTATCATTACACCTCGGGAAAACTGAAGCCATTCTCTTTGGCACGAAACATAAACTGAGAAGGGTAAATAATTTTAATGTCCAGTGTAATGGGGAGCCCATCACTTTGGTTTCATCAGTAAAATATCTGGGAATCCCCTTTGTCCCATGCATGTCAGGAGAATTGATAGGGAACAGTGTAGTAAAGAAAGCGAATGCCAGACTGAAGTTCCTGTATAGACAAGCACAGTGTCTACCTACTGAGGCTCGCAGGACCCTATGTCTAGCCCTTATACAATGCCATATGGATTACGCTTGCTCTTCATGGTACTATGCCTTGACAAAAAAACTGAAAGATAGGCTGCAAATCACCCAGAACAAAATCGTAAGATTCATCCTGGGGCTGGGACCAAGAGAACATATAGGCCAGGATGAATTACAGCAGTTGGATATGCTGAATGTTGAAGACAGAGTAAAACAACTGAAGCTAAATCATGTTTATAAAATTGCTCACAAACAGTGTCCAGAATATCTTGCTGTCAATTTTGTCAAGGTTGGGAACCAAAGCAATCATAGTACTAGGGGGAGAGAGCACAACTTTGTAGTACCCACAGTCATTGGCCAGGCTTCAAACACCTTTTATTGTACAGCAATAAAGGAATGGAACAGACTACCCGCACATGTCAAAGCCAGTCATAGCATGAACCAGTTCAAGAAGACTTCCAAAAGGTGTTTGATGAATGAAGCTACAGAAAGGGAGGGGAATGATTTTCTATTTTTTAGCTAACATACGTGTAAATTTTACCGTATTCCTAGTAATGACCCCCGTATTGTAGATAGTCTTAATGACCGTCGTGTAGTAGATAGTCTTTTTAGTATGATAATAAGATGTTATCTTCATTATAGAATAATAAGAAAATATTATAACCTTTATATTATATTAATAAGGTAAAAGGACCCCAATGGAAATAAGTCACTCTGTCTGACTTTTTTGGGTTATCCTAGGTTCTCTACACATATGCTGCTATGTATGATAATTCTATGTAACTGTATTTGTGTATACCTGAATAAACTTACTTACTTACAGTGTTGCAAGAGCTGCAACAGATAGATTGAGGAATGGTTTTCTCAGAGGAAAGATATATCTGGAGAGATTTTCGGGGATCAACGCCCCCGCGGCTCGGTAGCTTTTATCTCCAGCTTCCTTCGCCTTCTGAGGCGGACTGAATTTTGTGGGTTATCCTAGGTAATTTACACATGTATGATAATTGTAGTCACCTAAATTTGTGTAAATGTAGTTGTGTGAACCAGTACCTAAATAAACTTACATTATTATTATTATTATTATTATTATTATTATTAATTATTATTATTATTATTATTATTATATTATTTTATTTATTATTATTTATTATTATTATTATTATTATATTATTTTATTATTATTATTATTATAATATTATTATTATATTATTGATTTCAGAGAGAGCAGGGCAATATCTTTATTGCATTAGTAAATTAAGAAGGACGGAAAGTTTAAAAGAATAACACACAGCTAAATGATCAGTTTGAATATAACTATAAACTCTCCATTAACATAAGAGAGTAATAAAAGCGGAACAATCCTCAACTCTGCCATAATATTTTGTGCCACCAGATGAATATTGTTTGTGTTTTGTTTTCAGGACACACAGGAGGAGGTTGTGTCAGAGAGTCTCATGCTACTATAACTAGCCCTGATGGATATACCTGTGACACAGCTGCCTCCTGGAGACCCCAGGCTGGTGGAGGCAATAGTGGGTCAGCTCAAGTCCAAAGGAATATTCGATCAGTTCCGTAAAGAGTGTCTGGCTGATGTGGACACCAAGGTGAGTGGACTGCACAGTATGTAATGGCTACGATGCCTGAGTTAAGTTGATTTAGGTACAGGTACACATAAATACACTTACACGGATTATCATATATGGTAACATATGTGTAAATTACCTAGGATAACCCAGAAAAGTCAAAGTATGGATTGATAGAAGTAAAAAATGATCTCTTGTCTTCAAATTAGCTTTGAGAGTGAATGTATCTTTTTTTTTTTTTGGGGGGGGGAGCTGTTGTTTGCAAGTATTCTGCATTGTGAAAGTGACGAGATTTAACAGGTTTAACACTTGAAATAGAGAACAGCAGTTTGTAAGTAGGTACTGGCATGATGGGTGTACTAATTGGTAAAGTAAATGTATTCAGGTACAATTACATAATCTTTGTATGGTTACAGTTGGCCTAGATAATATATTTTGTGTAAATTATCTAGGATAACCCCCCAAAAATTAACTAAATTAGCTGTAGTAATGTTTGTACAAATGATAGTTGCTATGATGTTTTAGTCATAGGTGTATAGCACTAAATCCTTCTAAGAAGGCAGGTGTAAAATTGTCTGAATTTTACATTATGGCAAATAACCCCTGAAATTAAAAGAATATTCCTTAACCATTCAACATTATATTGTTTGTATATATACTCATCTAATTGTACTCACCTAATTGTGGTTGCAGGGGTCGAGACTCAGCTCCTGGCCCTACCTCTTCACTGAGTGCTACTAGGTCCTCTCTCTCCCTCCCTGCTCCTTGAGCTTTATCATACCTCATCTTAAAGCTATGTATGGTTTCTGCCTCCACTACCTCACTTGCTAGACTATTCCACTTCCTGACAACTCTATGACTGAAGAAATACTTCCTAACATCCCTTTGACTCATCTGGGTTTTCAACTTCCAATTGTGACCCCTTTGTTTCTGTGTCCCATCTCTGGAACATCCTGTCTCTGTCCACCTTATCTATTCCGTGCAGTATTTTGTATGTCGTTATCATGTCTCCCCTAACCCTCATGTCCTCCAGTGCCATCAGGCCGATTTCCCTTAACCTTTCGTAGTAGGACATTTCCCTTAGCTCTGGAACTAACCTTGTGCATGTGCGTGTGTGCGTGTACACGTGTGCGTGTGCGTACTCACCTAATTGTGGTTGCAGGGGTCGAGACTCAGCTCCTGGCCCCGCCTCTTCAATCGCTACTAGGTCCTCTCCTTCTCTGCTTCCTGAGCTTTGTCATACCTCTTCTTAAAACTATGTATGGTTCCTGCCTCCACTACTTCACTTGCTAGGCTATTCCACTTCCTGACGACTCTATGACTGAAGAAATACTTCCTAACGTCCCTGTGACTCGTCTGAGTCTTTAGCTTCCAGTTGTGACCCCTTGTTTCTGTGTCCCCTCCTGGAACATCCAAATCTCTGTCCAACCTTGTCTATTCCCCGCATTATTTTGTATGTCGTTATCATGTCTCCCCTTGACCCTTCTGTGTGCGTGTGCGTGTGTGCTTGTGTGCGTGCTGTGCGTGTGTGTGTGTGTGTGTTGTGTGTGTGTGTGTGTGTGTGTGTGTGTGTGTGTGTGTGTGTGTGTGTGCTCACCTAGTTGAGGTTGCGGGGGTCCGAGTCCAAGCTTCTGCCCCGCCTCTTCACTGGTCGCTACTAGGTCACTCTCTCTGAACCGTGACTTTATCATACCTCTGCTTAAAGCTATGTATGGATCCTGCCTCCACTACACGCTTCCAAACGTTCCACTTCCTGACTATTCTGTGGCTGAAGAAATACTTCTAACTCCCTGTGATTCATCTATTCTTCAACTTCCAACTGTGTCCCCTTGTTGCTGTGTCCCATCTCTGGAACATCCTGTCTTTGTCCACCCTGTCAATTCCTCTCAGTATTTTGTATGTCATTTATCATGTCCCCCCCCCCCTATCTCTCCTGTCCTCCAGTGTCGTCAGGTTGATTTCCCTTAACCTCTCCTCGTAGGACATACCTCTTAGCTCGGGCTAGTCTTGTTGCAAACCTTTGCACTTTCTCTAGTTTCTTTACTGCTTGGCTAGGTGTGTGTGCGTGTGTGTGCGTGCGTGGTGTGTGCGTGTGTGTGCATGTGTGTGTGTGTGTGTGTGCGTGTGTGTGCGTGTGTGTGCGTGTGTGTTGCGTGTGTGTGCGTGTGTGTGCGTGTGTGTGCGGGTGTGTGCGTGTGTGTGCGTGTGTGTGCGTGTGTGTGCGTGTGTGTGCGTGTGTTGCGTGTGTGTGTGCGTGTGGGGTGTGTGTGTGTGTGTGTGTGTGTGTGTACTCACCTAATTGTACTCACCTAATTGTGGTTGCAGGGGTCGAGACTCAGCTCCTGGCCCCCCCTTTCACTGATCGCTACGGATCCTCTCTCTCTTGCTTCCTGAGCTTTGTCATACCTCTTCTTAAAACTAGTATGGTTTCCGCCTCCACTACTTCACTTGCTAGGCTATTCCACTTGCTGACAACTCTATGACTGAAGAAATACTTCCTAACGTCCCTGTGACTCGTCTGAGTCTTCAGCTTCCAGTTGTGACCCCTTGCCCTGTGTCCCCTCTCTGGAACATCCTATCTCTGTCCACCTTGTCTATTCCCCGCAGTATCTTGTATGTCGTTATCATGTCTCCCCCTGACCCTTCTGTCCTCCAGTGTCGCAGTCCCCATTTCCCTTAACCTTTCCTCGTACACATTCCCTTGAGCTCTGGGACTAGCCTTGTTGCAAACCTTTGTACTTTCTCTAACTTCTTGACGTGCTTGACCCCGGTGTGGGTTCCAGACTGGTGCTGCATACTCCAGTATGGGCCTAACATACACAGTGAAAGTGTCTTGAACTTCCTTTTTGGGGGATCGAACGCTATTCTCAGGTTTTGCCAGGCGCCCCTATGCTGCAGGGGGTTTTTTTTGGGTTTATGTTGCCCCGGGGATGTCCGGTGTTATGTCACCCCAATTTTTTTTCTCCCTGATGAGGTCTGTTCTTTGCCACCTACCTATATTCTGTCTGCGGTCTCTTTGCCCCCCCCAATCTTCAGACTTTTCATTTGGCTGGATTGAATTCGAGGGGCCGTTACTGGACCCATTCCAGCCCTCCCGTCTCTTTGCAGTCCTGCCTCACCTCGCCGATTTAATTCTTCCATCACTTCACGTCACGCAACAGGGACACTTCAGAGTCTATTCCTTCCATCAGTCGTTTACAATACAAAAATAGCACTGGCCTAGAAAAGACCCCGTGGGACCCCCCCTGTAACAGGCGCCCACTGTGATACCCCTTTACTACCAGACTCGTTTCTGCCTCCCTGCGGTATTCCCTTTTCCATTGCAGTGCCCTTCCTTTTTTTTTTTGCCCGATCCCCCAGCGTCTGCACTAATCTCTGTGGGGAACGTGTCAAAGGCCTTCCGCAGTCAGGAAAACGCAATCTACCCAACACCTCCTCTCTCGTGTCTTACTTTTGTTTACCTTGTAATATAACTCAGAGTTTTGTGATACAAGATTTGCCTCCATGAACCCATGCGGTTTCATTTATAATCTTGTTCCTTTCCAGGTGTTCGACCAACTCTCCTCCTGATAATCTTCTCCATACTTTGGCACACAATACATGTACAAGAGACAAAGTCTGTAGTTTAGTGCCCCTCTTTCGTTTTCCTTTTCTTAAATATGGGACTACATTAGGCTGGCCTTCCATTTCTCAGGTAGTTGCCCAGTTTTCAAGGGATGTTGTTGAAGATTGTGGTTAGAGGCCCACACAGCATCTCGGCTCCTTCTCTAAGGACCCATGGGAGATGATGTCCCGTCCCATCGCCTTGAGGTGTCAAGGTCACGTAAGACTTCTTCACCCCTCCTCAGTTGTTCGTATGTCACCAACACTTGTTGGTATATTCCCTCTTTGATGTTCCCTTCTGTGCTGTCTACCCCAGCCCTTCCTGTCTACTGTAAAAAACATTCCTTAAATCTCCTGTTCACTCCTCACATTCCTCCTGATCATTTCTTGTGAGTTCTCCCCTTCTGTCCTTATCTGATCACCTGTCTTGACTGTTTTGTCTTCCTCCTGATGTGGCATACAACAGTTTCGGGTCATCTTGAATTCTCGATGCTAGTCATTTTCATACTGTCGCTGGCCTCCCTCCTTACCTGAGCTTAACTGCATACCTGGCTCTGCGACTGATCTCCCTATTTCGTGGGTTTTCTCTGCCTTCTGTACTTTTTCCATTCTCTATTGCACTTTGTTTTTGCTCCTTAAACGCGGGTAAACCAGGGGGCTTGTTTGGTCTTCCCGTTTTTATCTGTTGACCTGGAATGAACTTTTCCCCACTGCTCCTTGCATTTTTGTTGTTTATTATTTTTTATTATAGTACTACATATTCCATCATTTTCATTTACTTGCTTGGCTTTCCTGCCAGTTCCTGTCCCACTGGACCTCACCCGCATGAAGTGCTTCAACCCTATGTAGACCCTCTTTTATGTCAGGCTTTTCCCATTCTACTCCTGTTTTTCTCTCCACTTGCAGCTCTACTATGTAGTGCAAAGCACAGAACCCACGTGGTCGCAAGCTCCTAGGGACTCTCATACTTGTGTCCACTATGTCTGAGCTGCCCAGGGTGAACACTAGGTCCATCTTCTGGTTCATCCTCCCCTCTCACTCTGGTATAGTCCTTAACTGTTTTGGCAATGAGGTTTTCCCACACAACGTCCAACATCCTGGCTCTCCATGTTTCGGGGACCCTCCATGTGGCATCCAGGTTTTCCCACACTCTCCCTGTGGTTGAATCCCCCATAAACCAGCAACTCTGCTCTGCTGGAGTGAGCTCTCTTGCCACCTCAGCAAGTGTGTCCACCATTGCTCTGTTTGCTCTCTTCATATTCCCTCTTGCCTCCTCAGTTCGTGTGGATTATTCATCGCTGCTATGACCTCTTTGTGTTTCCCCAGACTGAAGTGTAAACCTGCTATGGATCTCTTGTCCTGTCTCATCTATCCGTCCATTTTTCTCGAATTTCCATCTGTTTTTTACGAGCCAGAGC